GGACCCTGCAGGAACAATCCCTGCTCTGTCCACTTGTTTCTCACGGACTCACGCCAAACCAAACCTCTGCCCGGGCCAGTTCTGCTTCCAACCAATCCTGGTGCGCTTTCCAGACCCCTCCTTCCTTTCTCAGGCTCCTACCCCAGTCCTGCTCCCCCCAGGACCCCAGAGTCCAGGCCCCCAGACTCCTCCTCCCTGAGAACTCAAGGGTCGGGGACCCCAGATTTCTCCCTCAGACTCAGGAGTCCAGACCCCCAACCTCTTCTGAGGAAATCAGAAGTTCAGGGACCCAGGCTCCTTCTCCCTTAGAACTTGAAATCACAGCTTCTGGTTGGTGTTGGGCGTCCCCTAGTGGAGGGCAGAGAGGATCTGGCCTGTGATTTATTTACCAGTTAGAAGGAATGAAAGAATTTATTTGGTCACTCAGCCGGCATGGTCACAGTCCAGCTGAGAGCCTCTAGTGCAGCGGTTCTCAACCTGTGGGTCGCGACCCCTTTGACGGTCGAACGACCCTTTCACAGGGGTCGCCTAAGACCATCCTGCATATCAGATACTTACATTACGATTCATAACAGTAGCAACATGACAGTTATGAAGTAGCAACGAAAATAATTTTATGGTTGGGTCACAACATGAGGAACTGTATTTAAAGGGCCAGAAGGTTGAGAACCACTGCTCTAGTGCATGCTTCCACGGGTCAGGACTCAGCTGTATGTGAGAGAGGGAAAACAGACCAGGGCATTTTGTTATCTAGAGCTGAGAGCAGAGATGGGATTACAGTGAAACTGAAGAAGATTAAATTTCAAAGCCCCTCTCTTGCCTGGGCTTTCTGTGGTCCTCTATTTCAATTTGTTTCTATAACTTTGTACTTCTAAAAGAGAGGCCTGCCTGCCCGCTGTGGCTCAGTTGGTTGAGCATTGTACTGTGCACTGCGTTTGCCAGTACGATTCCCAGTCAGGGCACATGCCTGGATTGTGGGTTTGATCCCCCACAGGGGTCATGCAGGAGGCAGCCGATGGATGTTTTGCTTTCACAGCAATGTTTCTCTCTACCTCTTCCTTCCACTATCTCTAAAAATCAACAAAAATATTTTTTTGAAAAAGTGGCCCAGAAAAATCTCAGTCTGCCCCCAGTCTGGGGGACATAATCAGTATGTTCATTGGTCCCTGGATCTATAATATCACAGAATCATTATTACTATCATTATCTGTAAGAGGGAGAACTGGGCACCTTAGTTTTCTAAGGTTCCTTCTTGCCCTTGTGTTGATCCCCAAAGGTAAGTCATTCACCTTCTGCACTCAGAGCTTCATCCTTTCACTCAGCAATCACCCCCTGGAGGAAACAGCAATGACCAGGACAGCCCTGGGCTTGCTTGCCCGGGGCAAGACACACCACACCCATTTCTGACATTGATGACCCAAAGTGAGCAGGTACGGGGTGAGGGTGTCCAGGGATCTTGGAGGACTGAAAGGCGGTGCCCCACCCAGCCTGGGGGGTCAGGGAGGGTTTCCTGGAGGAGGTGATATTGTTACTGAGCTGAGAGCTATAGGAAAGTGGAGGAAGAAGATAGTAAAATAATTAGAATCTCCCAGTAATGTGTAAGGTTCACAGTTACAGCACATGATGTTGATCACTTTCTAAATGTAAGGCAGGGGGCCAGGTGTTTACATTGGAGATCGCACTGGGTCTTCCCAAAAGCCCAACGGGGCAAAAGGGAAAGAGGAATAGCTGGTGCTGGTATAATGCGTAGTTTATTTATTTCTTTCTAAACATTTGTATTTTTTTATTTTATTATTATTTTTGATCCTCACCCGAGGATATTTTTTCCATTGACTTTTTAGAAAGAGTGGAGAGAGGGAAAGATGGAGAGAAACAGATTGGTTGCCTCTGGCACCTCCCTGACCAAGACCAGGCTGGGGAGGAGGTAAGTGCCCTTGGTCCGAATCCAACCGAAACCCTTTGGTCCACAGGTCGACGCTCTACCCACTGAGCAAGACCGGCTAGGGTTATAATGCCTAGTTTATAAGAGAGGAAGAAACGGAGGCTTAAAGAGATATGTCACTTGTTCGTGATCATTTAGCCCAGCGGTTCTCAACCTGTGGGTCGCGACCCCTTTGGGGGTCGAACGACCCTTTCACAGGGGTCGCCTAAGACCATCGGAAAACACATATATAATTACATACTGTTTTTGTGATTAATCACTATGCTTTAATTATGTTCAATTTGTAACAATGAAAATACATCCTGCATATCAGATATTTACATTACGATTCATAACAGTAGCAAAATTAGTTATGAAGTAGCAACGAAAATAATTTTATGGCTGGGGGTCACCACAACATGAGGAACTGTATTAAAGGGTCGCAGCATTAGGAAGGTTGAGAACCGCTGACTTAGCCGATCAGTAGTACAACCAGAATGTAAACTCAGGTCAGACCGCCACCCAATTCATTGGCGAAGGTTTAACAGCCGCTGATAATCTTCTGCCCTCTGGGTGGGCTTTCACAACAGTCTCCCCAAGCCAGGAGTCTCTGAACAAGTGTAGAAAGATGCATTCATAGCTAAGAAAACATGCAGCTCATACAGCCCTGGAAGCCCAGTACCCAAGCCTAGTCACCGAGAACACGCATGCGCGCTAAAGTGGCGGCCCGAAATCTAGGGAACGGGCTGACAGGATCCAACGTGGAGGTGTGGCGGCCGTGAGAACCCTGAAATGGTACTCTGAATGCACAGGAAAAATATAACCTCAAGGAGACTTGCCAAGGAGAAAGGATGTTAGGAAAAGAGGTGAGAGCGGGAAGATACTGGTCAGAAGCCCTGCTCTCCGAATCTGGATCCGGTGTCCAGGAAGTTCCTTTAACGCAGGAAGGGCGTGGCCCAAGCAAAACCTTTAGAAGCGTTACGGTGGCCGGGACAGCTCAAGAAACATGGAACGGCCTGAACTCGAAGACTCGGCGGAGTGAAGCGGGCGGACGGCCTAGAAAGCTCACATAACCGGGAGAGGCTGGTTTATTGGAGAGGGCAGAAGGAATGGAGCCTGCGCATAGCGCACGGGTTAGCTGAGGAAGTCCTGGGAGTTCGGAGCAGGCAGCGTCTCCACCAGGTGAAAACATGGGCTAGTAGGCGGGGGAAGTTCTGTGGCCGGATTGGTTCCTTCAAAGCCGGAAGCCGCTCTCCCGGGAGGCGTGGTCGAGGCGCTCTTGCCCGGTACGGTGGCCGGCAGGTCGGGGGAAAAGCGTGAAATCTCGCGCGAT